ATCTCTCAGCAGCCTTTGACACCATAGATCATTCCATCCTCTTGGATCGTCTGAGAGAGTTAGGATTTGGAGGCACTGCTCTGCAGTGGTTCCGTTCCTTCCTCTCGGGCAGATCCCAGAGGGTGAAACTCGGGGACAGTTGCTTTTCTAAAATAGAGCTTAATTGTGGCATCCCTCAGGGCGCCATCCTGTCCCTGATGTTATTTAACATTTAGCTGCTGGGTGAGATCATTCAGAGGCATGGAGCGTGGTGTCATCAGTACGTTGATGACACCCAGATATACTTCTCCATGACCAGATCATTGACTCAGACTTCAGATGGCATCTCTCCTCTTAATGACTGTCTCAGAGCGGTAATGGATTGGATGAGGAAAAACAGATTGAAATTGAATCCGGACAAAATGGAGGTACTTACAGTCACAGGCCCGAAACCAGATTTGGGAATACAATCTCCAGTCCTGGATGGAGTCACACTCTCCTCTAAAGACTGTGTTCGCAGTTTGGGGGTACTCCTCAACTCGTTGCTTCACATGACTAGTCAAGTGAATGCGACTGTCAGGAGGGCCTGTTATCAGCTTCAGCAGATACGCCAACTGCACCCTTATCTGGACATGAGGGATCTGGAAACTGCTCTGGTAACTTCATGTCTGCATTACTGCAATGCATTCTACATGGGGCTACCCTTGTGCCTAACCCAGAAACTACAACTGGTGCAAAATTGGCAGCCAGGTTACTTGCAGGAACATCTAGAAGGGAGCACATAACACTGGTGCTTAAATCCCTCCACTGGCTGCCGATTAGTATGGGGCACAGTACAAGGTGTTGGTTTTGACCTTTAAAGCCCTGCATGGCTTGGGTCCATCTTATCTTAGGGACCATCTATCCCCATATGTTCCCCCCCCCATGCCCTCTAGTCCTCTGGGAGGAATCTGTTACAGCCAATAAAAACTAGGCTGCCCCAGACCTCCCAGAGGGCTTTTTCTGCAACCGCTCCCAGACTATGGAATGGCCTGCTGGACAAGATCCATCTTATTACCACCCTTGCTGCTTTTAAAAAAGCAGTAAAGACGGATCTCTTCCAGCAGGCCTTCCCAGAATAACCTTTCAGCTCAGGGGAGATGGTTTTCATTTGTTCCCCCTGTTGCTGCCTGCCCTATTCCTATTTTGTTGTTTTTATTGTTTTAATTGTATAATTGTATTTTAACTCTTCAATAGTTTAATCTTGTTTTAATGGGATGGGAGGGTTAGATTACGGGATGAGAGAATGCTTTTAACTTTGTCTGTTTTAATATCCTGTACCCGTCCCGATTGCTGAACAGAGGGGCAGGCTATAAATAAAAAATTATTATTATTATTATTATTATTATTATTATTATTATTATTATTATTATTATTATTATTATACTATGACTGCCTTCACGTTGATCTTGACCCATGGCGAACCTATGGATGAGACATTTCCAGGGCCCCCTGTCCTCTACTGCTCTGCCCAGCTCCTGCAAACACATATTCATGGTCTCTTTAATAAAGTCCATTCATCTAGCACAGGGGTAGGCAACCTTTCCCCTTTAAGGGCCGAGGGACTTCAGCTCCAGAATCCCAGAAGCTATTGGCCAACATGGGACTATTGGACAACATGGCTGAGGCTTCTGGGAGCTGACGTCCACCGGCCCTTAAACGGGAAAGGTTGCCTACCCCTGATATATGGCTTTCCTCTCTTTCTACTTTCCTCCATGTTTCCTAACATTATTGTCTTTTCCAATGACTCATGCCTTCTCATAATGTGCCCAAAGTACAACAGTCTATGTCTTGTCATCTTGGCTTCTAGAGTTATCTCTGGCTTGATCTGTTCTAGGACCCATTTATTTGTCCTTTTGGCTGTCCATAGGATCCTCAGCACTCTTCTCCTGTCCCATATGTCAAATGAGTTGTTTTTCCTATCTTCTTTCGTGACTGTCCAGCTCTCACATCCATCCATGGTAATAGGGAATACAATGGCTTGGATGATTCTGACTTTTGTGCTGAGTTGTACGCCTTTGCACTTTAGGATCTTTTCTAGTTCTTTCATAGCAGCCCTTCCTATTTCTTAATGTTCTCCTAATTTCCTGGCTGCAGTCCCCATTCTGATCAATGTTTGATCCCAGATATGAGAACTCATTTACTATTTCTATTTCCTCATTGTCTAGTTTGAATGTGTGTAAGTTCAATGTGTAAAGTGATATAATAGCCCTGATTAAATATTTGAGGGGATGTCATATTGAGAATACAGCAAGCTTGTTTTCTGCTGCTCCAGGGAGCAGGATACAGAGCAATGGATACAGAGGGGATCTACCACAACATTAGAAAGAACTTCCGGACAGTAAGAGCTGTTTGACAGGGGAATATGCTGCCTCAGAGAGTGGTGGAGTCTCCTTCTTTGGAGGCTTTTAAACAGCAGCTGGATAGCCATCTGTCAGGGTGTGTGCTTTGATGATGAGGTCCTGAATGAGAGGGGGTTGGATGGCTCATGAGGTATCTTCTAACTCTATGTTTCTATAATTCTAGTTGACATTTTAGTAGTAGTTTCCAGTGTCTATCAAAATGAATGAGAGTAGCGCCAGTCTAGGATAGAGTGGAGCTCTAATGCTGATAACAGAAAGGACTTTGGTGCATAACACATGGCTAAACTTTTGAATTTGTGACCACAAGATGTGGTAACGGATGTCATCTTGGGAATCTTCAAGGGCTGTTGTTGTTGTATGCCTTCAAGTTGTTTCCAAAGTATGGTAACCCTATCATAGGGTTTTCTGGGCAAGATATGTTTGGAGGGGATTTGTCATTGCCTTCTTCTGAGGCTGAGAGCATGTGACTTGCCAAAGGTCACCCACTGGGTTTCATGACTGAACTGGGAATCAAACCCTGATCTCCAGAGTTGTAGTCTAATGCTCAAACCACTATGCCATGCTAGCCAGCTTAAAGAAAGATTCAGAAAATTCATGGAAGATGGGGCTCTCAGTGACTGCTGGTCATTATCACAGAATCACAGAGCTTGAAGAGACCCAAAGTGCCATCTAGTCCAATATTCTGCTAGTGCAGAAACCCACAGCTAAAGTGTCTCTGAAAGGTTGACATCCAACCTGTCCATAAAAACATGCCATAAGGGTGAATTTAACAACTCCCAAAATACCCAAACAGCTCTTTTCATCACAAAGATCTTCCTAATTATGAGAATTTCTTTCCTTGTAATTAGAATCCATTTGGTTGTGTCACTTCAGCTCTCAGTCTTCTTTTTTTCCAGACTAAATTCACCCAGGTCTCTCAAATGTTCCTCACAAGTTTCAGGTTCCATATATATTTATTGTTTTTCAAATGTGAACATTGAAATAGTTCAAAATTTTCCTTATCAGTCATCAAGCAGAATGGAAACTACAGTCAAGAAATCAGAAAAAGACTGGGACTTGGAAGGGCAACTATGAAGGAACTAGACAAGAACCTGAAGTGTAAAGATATATCACTTAATACTAAAGTTAGGATTGTCAATGCCATTGTAATTCCCTTTTATATGTATGGTTGTGAAAGCTAGACAGTGAAGAACGCTGATAGGAAGTAAATCAACTCATTTGAAATAGTTTCTTCAAGTCATTTCTGACTTATGGCCGCTCTAACGTATCCTATCACAGGGTTATCTTGACAATGGAGACAGGTGCCATTGCCACCCTCTGAATCTGAGAGAGTGTGACTTGCCCATGATCACCCAGTGGGTTTTCATAGACAAGATGGGATCCTGGTCTCCAGAGTTGTAGTCCATCACTCAAACCACTACACCACACTATACAGGTGTGTATCTCTACTTATGAGCCAGCATGACATAATGATTTTCTGTGTTGGACAAGTACCCTAGGAAGGCAGAGACTGAATTCTTGCTCAGCCATGAAAACCTATTGGATGGTCTTGGGCAAGTCACACTCTCTCATCCTTAGAAGAAGGCAAAGGCAAATGTCCTCTGAATACATCTTGCTGGGAAGCCATAGGATAAGTCATACATCTACCCTGTAGAAATCATGCAGTTTGATACCACTTTAGGTGCCATGGCTCCATCAAACTTGGGGTTTATAGTTTTGTGAGACACCAGTACTCTTGGGCAGAGAAGACTAAAGACCTTGAAAAGCTACAAATCCAAGGATTCTCGAATTAAGTCAATGGTTGTTGTTGTTGTTGTTGCTGTTGTTTGCCCCAAAAAACATTTTCTGTGTAGAAAATCCCATAAGTGATTTTCCTAAAAGGAATTTTGAAGTGGGAAGAATCTTGTAGCTTTTCTGTTTTAATTTGATGGGGTGTCTCAAATGTCAGGACACCCTTTCCTGTGGAAGATGTAAATATTAACAAGTATTCTTTCCATTGCTATAACCCATAATGGAATGATGCAATGCCTTGGTGATTTCTTTTAAAAAAAAAACTTCAAAAACTGGTTATCTTTGCAGCATCGTTTCCCCACGTCTTTCCCAGGGGAAGGATTTGTATTAATAGGTCATTTTTATTATGCAAATACTTTTTGTGTTCTGACAAATAGCAAGGTACCTAACATTTGGCCTGTCACGAAGCCAACTTATTCTGCTAGAGTCCTTAAAGAGCCCTTTGCATTAATTCAACATGAAATGTCAATGCTTCATAATTCATGACAGTACGCTGAGAGACCAATTTTCAATAGTGTTGCTCAAGGTTCAAACTAAGATTGCATCTTAAACCAAGAGAGCCAGATCTTTCTTGGAATGCGTGAATGCCTTCTTTCTGGCTCAGATATTAATTTCTGAGCTTGTGTGTTTTGACTAAACATCACTAGCTGTCACATTAATCTAACCTATTCTTAACATATGAGAAAGGTATGTGATTATTGCATAAACCATAATTATTTAATAATGCCTTTGGTTTGGTCACTTTTGCATATGAACAAAAAGAATTGCTCACAAGTATAAACTTAAGAAAGCCAGCATGGTATTGTAGTTTGAGCATTGGACTATTACTCTGGAGAACTGGGTTCGAATCCCTGCTCAATCATGTAAACCCATTGAGTGGGCAAGTCACATGCTCTCAACCTCAGGGAAAGCAAGGACAAACCTTCTCGGAACTAAGTGTGCCAAGAAAGCCCATTGATAGAATCACCTTAGGGTCTCCATAAGTTGGAAATGACTGGATGGCACACAACAATTGCAGCAAATGAACTTAGGGTTGGTCCATACAGGCTTGTTCAGCTGAAAAGTCTTTGCATGGGAAGGATAGGCATCAAGATATACTTCTCAAAGATGGGCTATGGATAACTTGACAGGGGCCAGGGACTAGAAGCCGAGCAATTGAACTAGACATTAGAACTGGAGAACAAAAACTTCTTCCTACCCCATGTGATTTTAGGCCCAGAAGAGGCCAATTTTACAACATCTGGGAAAATGACTTTGTTTAAAAAAAAAGAGGGTATGAAGGAGATACTTATGTCCTCAAAAATGGCATTGGGAGCCACATTCAGCCTAAGGACCACATATATTTCACCTCTTCCCTACCTGATGCTGTACTTACATGACTTGGATCTTCCTTGACAAACATTCTCCTGCAAAGAAACTGAGTAAAATGTTTGTGCTTTTTATTTTATTTTTTGAGGGGGGGGGGATCAGAAAGATGACCACAGAGGACATGATAAAGGTTTCTGTAACATTGCCCATGGGGTGGAAAAAGCAGAAAGAGAGAATTTCTCCTTCTCCCATCCTAGAAATTGGGGTCATCCAATTAAATTGATTCAGCCCAGGCAAAAATGCAGGTCTTGTCCCACATAATACATAATTCATTGACAGAGTCTGTTACCAAAAAATGTGGAGATGGACCATGGATTCAGGAAACTTTTTTTAAAAAAGGATTAAACAATGTCAGTGAGGAGAAAGCTCTAGATGGCTCCTGCGGTGGTGCGTTTGAACTACTATAGTGTGGGTTTGCCTTTGACAATGATCTGAAAAAACAAATGTTCCGTACAAAATAGGGCAGCAAGATTGGTAACGGGGGGAAAGGAGAGGTGAGACTTTGATAGCTTTGCTTTTTTTTCGAAAATAATTTACCTGAAAATTTCTTCATATATTCAGTGGAAATAAATTGTTTCATTTGCCCACACACACACAAATAAATGTGGGACAGAGAAAAACTGAGATTTGTCCATCCCAAGCAAAGGGCTTTGAGTTCATAGCTTTTCAAATCTCTCTATCTTCAGTTGTGCCTGGGCACTGAATCAGAGTTTTCACCACTTTTTTGTCCCTCACAAATCTCTGATTTTGAACAGTTAGCTAGCAGGCAAGTAGTCATGATCCTGTCTATGCAGGGAATAGCTTTACCTATCAGATTTAGCCAATGTAGATTAGCCAGAGTTTCCTTTAGGAGCTTATCACACCACTTATAAAACCATCTTACCTCTCCCAACTTTTTATTTTTAAATTTTAGTCAGGGCAGCATCCTGATACTATTGCAAGAATTTTGCCACCAAATCCACCACCTGGGTCTAGTCCGGGTCTATCCCTGCTCCCAGGGGCACTCAGTGTGCCTCTTTTCAAAACTGAGAATTTTACAGCTTAAGAATATGGTCACTGGAGTGCTCCTGGGACCAGGGCTAGACCCAGGCTGGACCTAGGCAGCAGATTCGGTGCCAAAATCCCTGAGACAGTATCAGGATGCTGCCTGAATTAAACTTTAAGTTGGGAGAGGGAAGACAGTTTTGAAAGTGGTGTGATATGCTCCTTAGTTTGGTATTGGTAAAGACTGAGGAGCTGTACACACCGGCATAAAGAGCTGATCTGGAAGCAGAGTGGAGGAGTGGCAACCGCATGCTGGCAATCCTGACTCTGCCCACATGCTGGCTTCATGCCACATAACCCACTGCATGGCGCAAGGCATCAGGGCACTCCCTTGGCGCAGCATCCACACGCGCTGCACCAAAGGAGCCCAGAAAAGCCACCATGGTGGCAGCAAGGGCACCCTTTCTGCAGTGCAAAAAAGAGCCATTTTTTGCAGCTTTTTTTTTTTTTTTTTTTTTTTTTTTTGCACCACAGAAAGACCAGCGTGTGGTTGCTGCAGCCCCAATCCAGTAAGGAAGGGGCCAGTGTCCTGCTTCCCCTTGGGGCAGTTGTTCAGCCCCTTACTGAATTTCAAAATTCTTCATAAGCAGAATGGGGGAATAAATTTGTCAGCCCAACTGGGACTGAAAAGTGTAATTTCATGCCGATATTTTGTCATGTTCACTAGCTTTCAATCCATCTCTGAACTTAATTCAAAAAGATAGTACATCTACTCTCCTCCTTTATCTTTTAGCATTTGGTTCCAGGACCTCTCGTGGTTACCAAAATCTGCAGATGCTCAAGTGTCATTAAATACAGTGGCAGAATAAAATGGTGTCCCTTATATAAAATGGCAAAATCAAACTTTGCTTTCTAGAATTTATATTTTTTTTAAATATATATATATATATATTTTCAAACCATGGATAGCTAAATCTGTTGATAAGGAATCGGTGGATATGGAGTGGTGACTGAATAGCTCAAGCCCTCTAAATTTATCTGAAGGTTCATTTTCTCATGCATACACATGTCCAGACTTTAAGCTCAAGTGGAAAGTTCTTTCTCAAGGTGCCTCTGCCAAATAAGATGCATTGGATGGTCTACGACAGGGGTAGGCAACCTTTCCTCTTTAAGGGCCTAGAAACTTCAGCTCCCAGAAGCCTCAGCCATGTTGGCCAATAGTCCCATGTTGGCCAATAGCTCCTGGGATTATGGGAGCTGAAGTCCCTCGGCCCTTAAAGGGGAAAGGTTGCCTACCCCTGGTCTACGAGATAGAGGGATTCTTCACTTGGGGTACCTATTGTCCTTCTTTGAGAGACTCACCTGGTGCAGACTCTATGTTCATTTTGATGCCAGGTTTGATGCCCTTTTCATTTTACCCAAGCT